CACAGATAACCTCTATATCATGTTGTTTCTCTTCTTTTGGGGCTATATAGTACTCTGCTGAATCAAGAACTTAACTGTCGTTTATTTAACTGCTGCTATGGGCACCAAAGAACACATTATATAAAATAAGCTGTAGATAACTGTCTCCTATGTGGTTGTCTATGGCTTTGGTTACCACATAAGTGTGGGGTTTTTTCTTTGTTGTTTTTCTAATTTTTTAATAAAAATATATCTCTGGAGAGATGGCTCAGTGGTTAAGAGTACTGACTGCTCTTGCAGAGGACCTGGATTCGATTCCCAGCACGCATACGGTGGCTACAAACCATCCTTAACTCCAGTTCCAAGGGAATCTGAAGCCCTCTTCTGAACTCTGTGGCATTGCATGACACAGGTGCACTCACGTACATGCAGGCAATACACTCATACACATAAAATAAAAATAATAAAAATAGTTTTAAAAAATAATAAAAATATATCTCTATTGTCTATAATAGAGATATTAGTGCATATAATAAAGCCAATTATATATTGTCACTCATGTATTACTTTAAGATAGTCATAATTGGGCATTTCTTACTCCTTTATGATGAAAGAATTCAGCCATATTTTATTCCAGTCTTACATGGTTATGTGTTTGTAAATTTCATCTGTAACATTCATCCCTTTGCATATTGTGTGATTTGGATCTAACCCAACAGCTGTGAAATCCCAATATTCTTTTTTAAATATTTATTTTATTTTATTATTATTATTACTATTACTATTATTATTATTCTTTCTTTCTTTCTTTTTTGGGTCTTTTTGAGACAGGGTCTCCCTGTAGCTCCAACTGGCCTGGAACTTGCTATGTAGACCAGGTTGGCCTCAAACTCACAGAGATCCATCTGCCTCTGCCTCCCGAGTGCTAGGATTAAAGGCGTGCACCACCATGCTGGGCAATATTTATTTTATTTTTAGTTATGTGTATATGGGGGGTGGGGGGTTGTACACATGAGTGCAAGTGCCCACAGAGGCCAGAAGAGGGCATCAGATACCCTGAAGTTATAAGAGGTTTTAAGCTGTCCATCAGGGGTGCTGGAAACCAAAGTCAGGTCCTCTGGAAGAACAAGAAGTATTCTTAACCACCGAGCCATCTGTTGAGTGCCTCAGCATTTTTTAATAGGTGATTATTTAATATTCTCACTGTATTTAAAGACCACATATAATTTGTTTCTTTAGTCATGTGTAAATACTCTAAATATGTTTTTCTAGGAAGTCAATGAAAATTCTCTTAAGAGATTAAGTGTCTACTTAGAAAACCTCCAGAAACCAGGCTTCAAGTCTCTGAAACCAACTCAGCTTACATTTTACATAAGAGAAAAAATAGACCAAAATTCCTCTGATGGCCAGGAGCTTGTTAGTACTTCTGGTAAGTTGTTTTACTTCTGGTGTGCCCATTGCCAGCTTTGTGTGCAATGTGTTCATTAATTTTGACATTGCCAGAATATCTTTGGATTAAAGCCTTGATCACTGAAAAGTAATATTATATAATTGTTTCCCTAGAATTAGGTTCTGAGAACATGTTTGAACAAGTCATTTTTTGTGTACTTAGACAATTTTATCTATAAACTCAAGTATTCAGTGTTGGTGTACGTGTTATACCTGTCTATAATGTTCTGAAACCCACAGCTTTCACTCTATTACTACCCCTGTGAAAGTGATGTTTGGCAAGCTACAACCTAGTGATGTCTACTCACCTTCCCAAGACCCAAGACAGAATATGTGCTTGAGTACCGATTCCCACTGCTTTAATCAAGATCTACTAATGTTTTAAAGTAGGGGGGCTGACTGAGATGCACACATGTAATCCCAGCACTTGGGACACTCAATCAAGAAGCTGAGTTTGAGGCCAGCCACGCTTTACATAGCAATACCCTATCTCAAAAACAACAACAAAAAATTGATAAAGAGCTAGATATGTTGGCATGCCTGTAGTCCTAGCATCCAAGAGACTGAGACAAGAGGATAGCTATCAGTTTGAGGCCAGTCTGAACTATATAGCAAAACCCAGTCTCAAAAAGAAAGGCACACGCCTTTAATCCCAGCACTTGGGAGGCAGAGGAAGGCAGATCTCTGTGAATTTGGCTAGTCTGGTCTATATAACAAGTGCCAGGCCAGCAGGGGCTACAGGAAAACCCTGTCTCAGAAGACGAGAGAGAGAGAGAGAGAGAGAGAGAGAGAGAGAGAGAGAGAGAGAGAGGAGAGAGAGGAGAGAGAGAGAAGAGAGGAGAGAGAGAGAGAGAGAGAACAACATAAGAAAAAAAGAAAAGGAAAGAAGTTAAAAAGAGGCTTAAAGGTCTCTTCCTTCTTGAAATATCCATCCTTCTGGTGATCATTGAGGAAAAAGAATTTATTTTTAGAATGTACTTAAAATGGTTTAAAGAATTACTGAATTTTGGGACTGGAGAGATGGCTTAGCAGTTAAGAGCACTGGCTGCTCTTGCAGAAGACCCGGGTTCAATTCCCAGCACCCACATGGTGGCTGACAACCATCCATAACTCCACACTTTCTGACCTTCACAGGCATTGCATGACATGGGTGCATTTACGTACACATGGACAGTACACTCATACACATAAAATAAACTTGATAAATTTTAAAAAATATTTTATTATTTTTATTTTATGTGTATGAGTGTGCTGCCTGCATGTATGTGAGTGCACCTATGTCGTGCAATGCTGTGGAGGTCAGAAGAGGGAATCAGATTCCCTTGGAACTGGAGTTAAGGACAGTTCTTAGCCATCATGTGGGTACTAGGAATCAAATCCAGCTCCTCTGCAAGAGCAGCCACTGCTCTTAACTGCTGAGCCATCTCTCCAGTCCCAAACTTAATAATTTTTTTAAAAGATTTACTCAATTTATTAGACTCTTGAGACATAGAATCTATTTCTAACTACTTGTGGCTAGCTGTCTGACTCTTCATTTACTTAGTGAAAGAGTTGTAGTGCTGTATAGGAAAGTTCCCATCCAGCCTCTCCAAGGACCTGCATTTTTTAATTGAATTTTGTTGGATATTTCATACATAAAATCATCTTTATATCCCCTTCCCCCTCCCCTTTGACACCTTCCATAGCTCCCCCACTGGAGTTCATACATTCTGTCATTTGTATTAAGGCCTATTATGTAAAGTTAGTGAAGGACCTGCATTTTATAGTATATTTTCTATTATCTTTTATTTTCTCATGATTGAATATGGAAACCAAAAGTCACAAATTCTTTCTCTTATCAGTTTCACCATCTGATTTACAGTTTTATTCAAAATAGCCCCAGCCAGATGTGTGCTGGTACCTGCAGTCTCAACATTTTTAACTTGAGGCAGGAGGATTGTGAGTTCTAGACCACCCTGGGTTACAGAATTAGACCCTGTTCTAAATTTCTTTTAAGATTTATTTTTGCTTTATGACGATTTTGCCTACATGTATGTAAATGCACCACAAAGGGGTATCAGATCTCCTGAAGCTAGAGTTACAGGCAGTTGTGAGCCACTTGACATGGGTGCTGAGTCTGAACCTGGGTCCTCTGTAAGAGCAGCAAGTGCCCTTAACTACAGAGCCAGCTCTCCAGCACCTATTTCAATTTTTTAATTGAATTTCTGTGTATTTCACATAGACCATCTTAATCATCCTTATACCTCCTTCCCCATTGCCCCCTCCCATACCCACCCACACTTGAATTCAAACATTCTGTCATTTGTGTTAAGGCCTATCATGTCAAGTTAGTGTCCCCAGATGTCCCTCAGTGCAAGGTCATCCACTGAGGTCTAGTCAGCCTATCTAGAGTCCCTCCCTTTAAGAAGATTGGCTCTTCCTCACCCAGCAGTAATCAGTTGCCACAATAGTTCTTCAACTAAGGTTGGGGTCTACTGTCCATTTCCACATATCTGTGCTGGGTTTTTGTCTGCTTGAGTTTGCCTGGATCTTGTGCATGCTGACACCATTGCTGTAGGTTTGTATGAGAAGAGTCCCAGGAACCTGTGGGATTCTATTTCCATATGGTCATGCACCTCCTCCCTGGCTCTTACAATCTTTCTACCCCCTCTTCCACAGGTCCCTAAGCCTGGGTGGGTAGATTTTAATACAGGAGTCCTGTCCAAGGACCCACACTCTGTAGACTCTTACTCTCTATGTTTTGGCCATTTGAGATCTTTTGTGTTCCTGGCCCTCTGTTGCATGAGGGAGCTTCATTAATGAGAATCAAAAGATGCATTAGTGCTTTCTTCATCCCTTGTTCTATGTTCCATGAGGCTTAGGTGTACAGGTCGCATCATAGATGTGCCACTTAGGCTTGGGCAATTCACAGGCAATCTCTGTATGTGATCAGTTGTGGAACTCGGTAATAATCTCTGTTGAAAACGAAGCTTCTGCCCAGCATGGTGGAGCATGCCTTTAATCCTAGCACTTGGGAGGTAGAGGCAGGCAGATCTCTGTGAGTTTGAGGCCAGCTTGGTCTACATAGTGAGTTCCAGGCCAGCTGGGGCTACAGGACCCTATCTTTAAAAATAAATAAATAAAAGAAGCTAAAAAACAAGCTGCTTTGATGGATGGTGACTGGGATACTTGTCAGTAAATTTAAGGATCCATATTTTGCACATAGAAATTACATTAGTCTAGGGAGGTGACATCCTTGGGGTTTTCTCTAAGATCTATGAGCTCTCCATCTATGTGTATTTGGCTACGTTTACAATACCATGCATGAGTGTCTTCCCATTGAGTGGGCTTTAAGTCTAATTAGGTAGCTGTTGATTACCCATAAGAGAAAAGTGCCACTACTGCACCAATGTCTGGTCATTGCTGTGCTGGTCATTGATGTGGTTTTCAGGCCTTGAAGCTAGGGTTGGACCATCGATTAATGTTCTCCCTTATCAGCTTGTATAGTGAAAGTATCTTGTTGAGAATTTTTGCATCTATGTTCATTAAGGATATGGATCTATAGTTTTCTATTTTGGTTGTATCTTTACCTGGTTTTGGTATTAGAGTGATGCTGACTTCATAGAAGGAGTTTGGGGGTTCTTGCTCTGTTTATATCTTTATGAATAATTTAAAAAGTATTAGTTGTAGATCTTCTTTAAATATCTGGTAGAAATTCTGCTCTAAATCCATCTGGGCTGGGCTTTTTTTAGTCAGAAGGTTTTGAATTACTGTTTCAATTTCCTTATATGTTATGGATCTGTTTAAACTGTTAATCTCTTCTTGGTTTAGCTTTGGTGGTGTATTAGTCAGGGTTCTCCAAAGAAACAGAACCAGTAGAATGAATATGTATAAAGATTTATCAGCTTAGCTCACAGGATAGAGTCCGAGTAGTCCAACAATGGCTGCACCACACTGGAGAGGCTGAGAATCTGTAGTCGCTCAGTCCACAAGGCTGGATGTCTCAGTAGTCCCAATCCGGTGCTGGAGGTCTGACAAATTCCAAAATATCAGCTAGTCTTCAGTCTACAGCAGCAAGACGAACCCACCAGCGAGAGAGAAGGCAAGCCGCAAAAAGCCCCGTGTTCTCCTCTGCCTTGGTCTTTTATACCGGCTGCCATCAGAAGGTAACACCCACATTTAGGGTGTGTCTTCTGGCTTTAGATGATCCAATCAAGAAGTTCTCTTTCATTTCAGTTAATCTCAGATCAAATCAAGTTGACACCCAGGATTAGCCATCACAGGTGGTTCCCATGATTTTAGATATCCATCCATTTCTTTTAGGTTTTCAGATTTAATAGAGTATAGGTTTTTAAATTTGGAATTGCTCTTCCTTTCTTTTGGTTAACTGGGCTAAGGGTCTGTCTATCTCATTTAGATTTTCTAAGAACCAGCTCTTGGATTTGTTGTTTGTATTTTTTTCTTTGTTTCTATTTCATTAATGTCTGCTCTGATTTTTTGTTATTTCTTTTCATCTTCTGGGTTTGAGTTTAATTGGTTCTTGCCTTTCCAGAGTCTTGAGTTGCAATGTTGTCATTTATTTGTGCTCTTTGAGACATGGTCTCCCTGTAGCCCCATCTGGCCTTGGAACTCACTATGTAGACCTTGAATTCACAGAGATCCACCTGCCTCTGCCTCCCAAGTGCTGGGATTAAAGGTGTGCACCTCTTTCTGATTTTTTAAAATATTTATTATTTTTATTTTATATGTATGAGTGTATTGCCTACATGTGTGTGAGTGCACCCATGTTGTGCAGTGCTGTGGAGGTCAGAAGAGGGCTTCAGATTCCCCTGGAATTAGAGTTAAGGATGGTTCATAGCCACCATGTGGGTGCTAGGAATCAAACCCGGGTCCCTGCAAGAGCAGTCAGTGCTCTTAACTGCTGAGCTATCTCTCTAGCCCCCTGATTTTTTAATGTAGGCACTTACAGCTATAAACTTCCCTCTTAGGACTGATTTAGAG